CTTCTTAAGAATGGGGCTCAAGGCATCAAGAACACCCTTGAGATCGACATCGTTCAACTTGTCGATCAGTGGAGACGCAGCACCGATAAGGTCTTGTGTCTGGTCCACAAACTTGGGTGTCAAGAGAGTCTCGGCGTTCTTGAGTAAGCTCAAGATACCCTTGATAGAATCGCTCGTAAGAAGCGGCTGCAGCGCTTTGAGGACTTCTTCAAGGTTGAGCTTGGTAAGTTGCTCGAGAAGTGGGGCGATGTCCTTGATGATGGGAGAGACTTCGCCGAGAAGACCCTGGATCTCATCAACGGTCTTGGCGGTGAGAAGATCGCCAGCGTTCTTGAGTAGAGTGACAATGCCCTGGATAGACTCCTTCGTGAGAAGTGGGTCCAAGGCTGATAGAATGCCCTCGAGATCAAGGCCGGTGAGCTTCTTGAGAAGAGGAGCAAGCTCGTCGAGAAGAGGTGAGACGTCACCGATGAGGCCCTTGGTCTGCTTGACGAAATCTGGTGTCAAGAGGCTTGCGCCATTGGTGAGAAGACCGTCGATGTTCTTGAGGTTGCCGTCGGTGAGAAGCTTGAGAACCTTGGAGACGATACCAGCGATATCGACATCCTTAAGCTGGTCGATAAGACCCTTGAGGTCGAGTTCGCCAACAAGATCCAGCAAAGGACCTGCTTTGTCAAGCAGACTTCTGATCTGGTTGGGTGCAGGAGGCTTCAAGGTTGCTGCGAGATAGACCATAGCATCATGGAATGCGTCAAGGAACTCGGCTGTTAGGAGATTCTTGAGGGCTTTGAGGAGATCTCCCAACTCGCCGAGGGCGTCTGTCAATCCCTTGATGCCATCGCCGAGGTCACCGAGACCATCAAGCCCAGGAATTGAGACAACGCGACTAGAACCGCCGCTATCTGAGTCTGAGTCATCATCTGAACCAGACCCTGAGCTAGAGCCGCCAGATTTTGAGCCAGAACCCGAAGTAGTATTTTGTCGCCTTATCAGAACAGGTGCGCGAGGAAATCGATCACTCTTGAGAAGTGTATTCAATTCCTTTAACGCGTCTGTGAGTTCTGATCGCGGTACAAGCGCGAGGTTATGCTTCTCCAAAAGCTCGACCAATTGGCCCGAGAGCTCCGGTGCGGAAACGGTCTTTGGCTCAGGGGCCGCAAGACTAAATGGCGCAAGCACCGATAGGAGCACCGTTGAGAACCTCATAGTGTGACAATTGAAAGAGAAGATGAGATAAGGGAACCAGAGTGAACTGTCTCACTATCACAGCTTGACTTGACTTGTACTGTAGCGAGGAGAAGGGGGGGGAGAAGAGATAATCAGGCTGCCAAGGGTTCGTTTAAAGGAGGCTCTTTATCTCAGCCAGTCAACACACACGGATTTGCTTTTCGGGAACGTTGCAGGCACTCCACAGCTGTACCCCAGAAATCATGGATGATACCGCGGCAGGGAAATTGGTGCTGGAGGGGTAGCTGTGACGATCCCTGCTGTTCTGGCCAGGAGGAGGTGAGCACCCCTGTACCTCGCAAACTATTGCGCTTTGGGCACGAGGCTTTGCATCATCATCAGCGCTTTTGCACGGTCTCGTGGACAAGGTTCCTGGTCTAGCTTCTGGGGTTCAAGCATGGATGATGGGGGGGGCCAGGACAGCGCAGCTGGGTCCGTTGGTGATGAGCGCCACTGGTCAAAGCGCACTGCGACAGTGAAGACGCTAGACAGCACCGCTAGGACGTGAGCGTACAGGGGCCGATTGGCTACAAGAAAAACCGAGGATGAGTTTGGTGGCAGAGTGCGCTATGATTTCTTGGATATTTACGGCATGGACTCGGACAGTGGGGATGAACGTTCAGATGATAGCGTCGGGCCGTAACGTTTCAAGTAAGGTAATGCACTGACAGGTCTAGATGAGGAAACATCTTGGCAAGAATCGAGGTCAATTGACTCAAGTTGAGTGCGGAAAAAACAAGCTTACTACGGAATTGAATACGAAAAACACTCTAAACTAGGTTATTAACTATCGCGCTGCCTTGAAATCGACACCTCCAACCCTATTGACCACTCCCGCTCGGTGGTAGTAAGTACCAGACCTAACGTATGGGTCCAACTTCCAGTAGTTCATCTGTAGCAATTGAATCAACTCATCTCGCCTCTCGTGCGCTTCCTTGCCAGCGTCTGTCCCTGGATCTGTGCCAATCCAATCAACAGTCGACCGATTGAACGACTCAATCAATTCCTGTCGCTCAATCTGTATCTTAATCTTCTTCTCCTCAGACTGCATCCTCTCGTTCTCAGAGGGAACAGGCTCTACGTATTTGTACTCCCAAGGATCTTCACCACCATAAGACTTCTGCAGGTTCTCCTTGGCGATGAACTTGAGAAGGCCCTTGGTACCGCTGGTGAAGTGGACCTTGGATGCGACGACAGGGTCAAGCCAGTGCTTGATGACGGTCCAGACACCTGGAAAGGATTAGCATGTAAATAGAGTTGGAGGTAACAGAGTGTCAAGCTTACCCCAAAATACGAATGGCGCATTGTGCACAAGCACTACCGAGAGGGTCTCGGGGTAGCGCTTCTCAAGAATATCGACGAGGAACTTGACGACGTGAAAGTCCATGTTGCGAAGACCAAAGCCTGTGAGATCAAAGATCAAGCAGACCTTGTCTTGCGGCTCTCTTGCCATGACTCTCAAGGTCTCGATGTTGTGCAAGACATATTCTTCCATAGACTCGGCAGATTGTTTGTGAGGGTCGTGAAGGCGGACTCTGATGACATAGATGGGATAATTGTCCTTGTCTGTTCCTCTGACGTAGCTCTTGCCTGAGCGATACTGCGCCATGAATGACTCCTCATCGGTAGTGAGGGTCTTCTTCAGACCGACAGCTTCGCCGCCTCCAACAATGGTCTTCTGAATCTGTCGCTCGTCGCGCCAGTTGAGAGCAGAGACAAACATGTCAACGGCCTTGTTGACATCCCAGTCGCGCGCTCGAAGAAATCGAAGGAGCGTGGTGTCGGGATGATCGGCCATGATCGACTCCCAGAGATTCCGTGAGAAATGATCGGAATCTTTGTTCTTGAGGTGCTGGAGATATTCGTCTGTGTTGTCTGGAGCATCATGGGCGATATTCTCATTTCCGCATAATCGCAGAATATGGACCCAAGCCTCTTGGAGGCTCTTCTTTTGCTCAAGGGTGAGGTTGCCCCTGGTGCCTGGCTCAGATGAAGATGACATTGTGATATCGAGAGTGCTGACTGATGAGAATGAGTTATTTAGAAAGCAGGTAAAGAGCTCGTTCATGAAGAACTTACGATTGTGAAGATCTTTGCAAAAACTTCAGTTTTCAAGAAGTCGTCTAGTTATCAGTCTTGCGATGAAACAAGCAAACATGAAACGAATCACGGCGTCGTTGACATCAGCAAACGTGAAAGATGGGCTTCCTCGGCATAGAGTGGAACTAGACAGACTAAACTAAACTAGAGGTGCGATGATCAATTTGGGGGACAGGTCGGAAGGTGGTCCTGAATTGGGAAACGAGCAAAAGAGCGCTATGACATTCCTAGATTGTGCCCATCCATCTCGTCCTTCGGCAATGCGATGCTCGCAAGCCATGGCATCTGGGGCTAATGCACCCCGCACGAGGATGCTCCAGAAGTCCCCCAGACGGGAGCCAAAAGACGTCACACGCAAGCTTTGCCGGATTGCGGGGGAAGATATTGCGCTATTTGGGACAGAAGCTGGGAAATTGGGCATCTCGATCGAGTTTAGCTGAGGGGATCGTGGTTTTGATGCGTGGGTTGGCGAACTGAGTTGCTGAACTGGCGTGAATGTGGCTGCTTCTTGACAGTTGAGCTACCCACGTTACTAACTATGTATGCATGCATGCACATTGCACAGACTAGATTTGGAATCGACATGTCTGAGAGTTCACGAGTCAAGCAAACTATCGCTTCCTTAAAGTTCTGACCGACATCGACCACTTTCACTTCTTTTATCGATCCTATTTGGGTCACTCTGATCAACCCTCTTCGGTCGATTTCCGTTATGTTATCGTCGTGGCTTGCGAGCGTTGGCCACCTTGAGAATAGCTTACCCTGAAGTCTGCAATCCGTTGCCAAGCGGTACACCATATCACTTGCTTCACATCGTTGTTAGGAGGATTTCGTGGTGGCAATGCATGTGGAACGTTGAATCAATCGGTTTCCATATCGCAAATATTGCTATGTAATGTACAGCCCAATCAACGGTTTGGTCGTTTGATGCTAGCCTATTAAACCGGTTGCATCGAGGTTCAAGCAGAAAGACAATACTCAATCTTAAAGTGGTCGTCCTTGTTTAGATAGCATTTTCTTTTAGCTTCTTCTGTCACTGCTTCTTGGTTTATCATCTCCTTATCACATTAAACAATATATTATAATTTACTCTAATGCCTTGTTAGAGATTTAGAACCAATGAAATCATTAAAGAAAGAGCTCCTGTAAATACATTTTCCTAATAACATACTGCAGCGCATTTTCAAGATATCGACAGAAGCTGACATGATATAGCAGTATTTATATGGGGAAAGTAATAGACAGTATAAATAGTTTAATAAAGCTTCTTATATTTCAAGGAACTATTTACTTAAAACTAAGACGTCTTGACATTGGGTCCAGAGAGCTTGAAAATATTTTGTTTTACGATATGCTCAGTACTGCGGGTTTATCTAAAGTCCAAGCGTTGCAAAACAGAAGTTCATTGTATAGCTATGTATATCAAGTCAAACTTGAACTCCGACTCATACTGAGAGAGCTTCTTCCTGTCAAAGGGGCTTGGTGAATCAGGAATCATGCAACTCAGCCCAGTATACGGCTTATCCTCTCCAGCTGCGTAAAGTAGATCGGCGAGTCCGCTAGAGTGGCATATCCATACTAATTCATCTGTAACGTTTGCCCCCAATCCTGAGTAATGGAAGAGTTTAGATAAATTTTGCCTAACCTTAGGAGGCTCTTTGGTGAGTTTATCATCATCCGCCAGGCTGCGAATAAATAAAGATTTTAAAGTAGGCGCTGACAGGCTTGATATCGAAGTAAGTTCCAGCAGGCAACCAAGCCACTTCATCGGGGCCGATACGTGAAGAGTCATGGTCACTTACCGTGACCTCGAGATATCCATCAGACACATAGAAGCAGTGGTCAACATCTAGGAACTGAATCCCGCCAGACAAAAGCTGCGTTTCAAAATGGTTAGACCCTTTAAGAGTAGCCAGAGTGTATGTGTTCCCAGATTCGGCCCCAGTAACATATGGACGGACGACTGTTCCGCCGAGAAGAGCACTAGGTCCTGTGCAGTTACGGAGAAAGTACGGCTTCTGAGAACCAGGGAGTTGGTTATCTGAACTGTCCCAAGGCTGCGGCTCAAGGAACTTGTGGTTTGGCACAGGGATAACGTCAAACTCGGTCATGACATTTGCGACGCCAGAGTTGAGCTTTTCAGTAGCCCTTTCAAGATCGGCATCCGGCCACATCGGACCACGAAACATGTGCTCGAATCCCGCAGGAGTGATTATACTGAAGATCTCAGTATGATCACCAATGAACTGGTACGCACGAACAGCGTTCTTGAGGGGTCAGTATGATGGAAAGAAAGCATGGGTATTTTGACGTACTGGAGCCACACTGGCGTAGTCCCCGGGGCTGAGGATTCTGCACTGGTCATTAAGCCATACCTTCAACTGTCCCCTGATACAGAGGAAGTCATGATGGGTATGTTTGTGATAATGAGATGGCACAGGAGCTGGGAAGGCTTGGCCACCGCTTGTCAGGATGGTGAACTTGCCATCCGTTTCTTTCCCGGTCAGAAGGAAACGAGCAACCGAAGGAGTGCCAGAGACGTAGACCTTGTCTCCAGAAAAGGATTCGAAGATATATGGCTTCTTAGTAGCAGCTGATTTTCCAGCTACTGATGGCGGGAGCACCATGCGCTCCATGGTCATGTCCCAGATTTAAGTGAAATGAAAGATATGAGTTTTCTGATGCTTTCTAGCTGTTCAAAGTCTTTGCTTCAGTTCATTCATCATCGCGCTGGAACATCGAGTATTTAATGCATACAGCTCTTTCACTTGACCTTCCACTTGACGTAGATCTGAGGAAGCCAAGCACTCGAGACATATGACAATGCATTGCAACGCTTAGAGTTGTCGGATGCAGGGTTTCCCAGCGTATCTATGCTCATATCAACTTCGTCATCGGTATTGGTTCTTTGTGGAGGAGCGAGATACGACAAACTGACATCTATTGTCTCAAGACCGATGAGCCTTCTCAGAAACACGTCCAACGACATCGCCATTGAACGGAGCTTTCAAGGCCGCCTTGCTCGGTGTCGGCTTTCATATCGGTATTTCTCTTTTGTCCGCGCCGAGTGAAACCAATAGCTGGCCAAGAATGTCATATTAGGACCTTGCTCCGGGACTTGTGGCCCGTTATTGCGGGCCACGAACGCCTTTTTCTCAACGGTAGTCATTCTCGGGAACCGAATCTGGCAATAGCCACTATTTCAAGGCTCAACGGTCGGCGTTTGGCGCTCATGTCTGCCGCTTACTCATCGTCGGATGTCAGGTAAGGGCATCATGATATACCTGAAGCTGAGATATATGAAGACGCGAATGCGATTGCGAAGGCTGAAAAAGAATGTCAAATAGAACCTCATAAGTCACATTTCCTTTCAGGCTTCAATGCCACTCAGTCAGCCGTCTTTCGAAATGGATCAGCTCACCTCAGTTCCCAACTCAATTGCCGAGAGCATTGAGCCAACTTTGAAGATTTACCTTCCGCTTCTCAACAAGAACTCATCTGCCATCAAATCAACTTTGAGAAAAACATTCTCTTATGGTTCGAGCCCTCGGAATAACCTGGATATCTATTATCCTGTCAATAGTCCCACCGGGGCTGGGTGTCCTCTCTTCATCTACACATATGGAGGCGGCTTCACTCGGGGAGATAGAGCCACTGAAGATCATCTACTCGACCGAAACCTTGGGTATTCCTTTGCCGAGAAGTGCGGATTCGTCACAGCCATTCCGGACTATCGCCTTGTTCCAGAGGCGAGATTTCTTTCCGGTGGACAGGATATTGAGATGGTTGTGAAGTGGCTCATAGACAACAATGACAAGATTGGAGATTCACAGCCAAGACCGTTGTTCATGATGGGCAACTCTGCTGGCGCTGTTCATCTTTGCACATTCTTGCTTCACCCCTCGTTTGCCGAGCTTCGCGGCAAGATCACAGGTAACAGCGATACCAGCCCCCAGCGGCTGAAGGCTGCTGTCTTTTGCTCTATGCCGACGTCATTCCGCAACCCTCGCCCTTATAGAGCTCCTGTTCTTGCAAGATACTATGGAGATACAATAGAGCAGGATTGTCCCCTCGGACTTCTTGAGGCTTGTGACAAGAACAAGAATGTCTCCGATGCTGCACCTGAAGTCCAGTTTCTTCTGCTGTATGGCTCCCTCGACCCCGAAGATGAGATTCTGAGTTGTAATAAGGAGTTTATTGAACAATGGAGATCAGGCAAGGGAAGCTCGAGTGTAGAGCTCGAAGTTCAGGTTATGGAAGGCCACAACCATATCTCGCCTCCCCCAGCTCTCGGTACCAATATTTCGAGAGAAGAGGTCTGGGGGTTTAATGTTGCTGGGTTTTGCAACGCGGCTGCTCAAAGTTGAGGTAAGATCTTGATCTCAATTGATGCAGGTATGAAAGAAAGTGGTAGAAGCACCGATGGGTCAAGAATTCGGTTGGAGCATTCAGATAGTGAGGACGTAGACAGTGACTTTCATTCGGCTAAATATGTACGTGAGAAATAGATATATACAATTGAACCATTTCCTCGAGCATCATTCTACCTCCAACACTTGATCCAACTAGGACAATTCATTGCATGAGCCAGCGACATACACTACCCACAGCTTATAGAGCGTTGATCAAGGCATTGAAAGCGGCCTTGGGCTGGTAGTTGCTGTCGTACAGGAGAGGGTTGTCACCAGGTCGCCACGAGTCCTTGTCAGAGACACCCCAGACGGTAATGCCGACACACTTGGAAACAGCAAGGCAGCCGTTCATGACAGTAAGGAAATCGTTAGCACTGGCACCCGCGATATCAAGCTCAGTGATAGCAATCTCCTTGACGTTCGAGGCAGCAAGGGCCTTGAGAGCATTGGGGACGCCAGAAGCAGGGTTCCAGCCACCAGGAGCAGCAAGATGGCCTTGAGAACCAATACCATCGATGGGAATGCCAGCAGCAAGCCACTTGTTGACGTGAGCGACCATGCCGTTGGTCACCTTGGCGTAGTTAGCGATGTCGAGGTTATAGTCATTGATGTAGAGCTTGGCGTTGGGGTCAGCGGCGCGGGCAGCGCGGAAAGCAATGCCAACAAAGTCCTCGCCGAGCACTCGGCTGAAGACACTGTCGCGGAGGTTGCCGTCCTCAGCAAAAATCTCGTTGACGACATCCCACTGGAGGATCTTGCCCTTGTAGCGGGTGACCATGGTGGTAACGTGGTTCTGGATGACCGAGGTGAGGGTGGAGCGGTCGTTGATGTTTTGAACCCACTGAGGCAGCTGGGAGTGCCAGAGGAGAGTGTGGCCACGAATGAGCTTGTTGTTCGCAATGGCGAAGTCGACCACCTTGTCAGCGTTGGTGAAGGTGAAGGAGTTGCGCGAAGCTGTTCCATGTCAGATGGCCATTCCAGTTATCTTGGTAGTAGGGAACCTTACGCTCAATAGCATCCCACTTCATGCTGTTCTCGCAAGTCACTTGGCCAAATTGGGCCTTGACAATGTTGATCAGGGCAGTGTTGCTCAGGTGGTAGTGGTCGATCTCAGTACCGAAGTACTGCTTACCCTTGGCCTTGAACTTGGCGTCAAGACCAGTGCCGCCAGCGCCACCAGTAGGCTGAGTGCCACCACCCTGAGTAGTTGACGAAGGCTGGGGCTCAGATCCTCCAGATCCGGGAACACACTGATAGTACCAGTCGTTGATCTTCTGACACGTGAGGCCACTTTGGCAAGTTGTAGGCCCTGTCCAACCATTGCCACCACCTGTGAGAAGCTTTAGCTATGGAGTATCTACTCATCGGAGCTGCTGTAACATACACTGTCCCCAGACAGGAGACTGGGCCAGGGCGGACGCGGGAGCGAGAGCGAGGAGAAATGAAAGAGTATGCATCTTGATTAATATCAGTGAGCTGATGCTTCGAAGCAGAAGATACTGTCTGAAGATATCGAACGCAACGTCAAGGGGTTACTCCCGTCCTTATATATAGCTTTGATATAGCATCCAACATAACATATTCGCCCCCGGCTCTATATAATCGTGAGATCTGACCAATCCGATCGATTCCATTGTGTTTTGCCGGGAAATTGGCATATCTGGGGTTATAGAGCCTTATGTGCGGAGAACCAAGCTCCGAATGAGGCCCATTGAGGAAATGTCGGAGCATCGCCACGTTTGTCCTCAACACCCTAAACAGAAAGCTGCGATGGTGTCCCCCGCAAATATGGGTCGTTATTAAATTGTGCAGCGGATAATATTCTTTTGAGATCGATGCCTACTACGGATTGAGGAGAGTTTCTTAATGCGTGCTGATATTACGTGCTCTTCTGGGACTAGATGCCAAGCTGGAGGCTGTAACATCAAAATTGTTGTTAGGAGGTCTGCGGGGAATGGATCGTGAATTTAGCCGATCATCGAACGCTTTCCTCTATTGTTTGAAGCGTTGCTGGATTTGACGTATATTGGCAATATTATAGCATGATCCGATTAGCGAGCATGGCAAAGACTCCCGATATTCCGAATCATTTGATCTGCCTATACCTAGCTCAAGCTAGTTACGTACCGGAGTACGGATGTAGTTACCGAGTGAGTTATTGTGTAAACAATAGAGTTGTCATGTTTATGGCGGCCTTTCTCTGAAAACCTACAACTATCCAAGCGAGCATCTTAGATCGAGGAGGTTAAGCTTACTTGGTTAGCTCTCACCGTGGATCATTGGAAAGCTGTCCAACGTAGATTAATGCACTGTCTTACCTATTCTTCAAGCGTCAGTGAAGTGCCATGTCTCTTGCCGAGCCTGCCTAAAGACGGAGTTGGGTTGCATCCAACTCCAACGAAGGATGCGGAGGATGCCATTTATGAACCGATTTGGCAGAATTGGATCAGCTCGTCCGGCTAATCACCGACAACCCTTAAAAATCTGACATCCACGTGGTGGCATGACTGCTGAGCTCTAGGCGCTCCTATGGATTGATGCCAAGAGCTGGGCTTTCTCTATGCGCGCAACTTGGAATACATTGAAGGTCGCAGTGGACGGTCTCATGGATGGTGATCTTGCCCAAGGTTGATTGTTCTTGGGGCGAACTTGAGTGCTTCTGGTCAGACTAACTTGCTGCTGGCAAGTCACTGATCTCGAAGAACTTGCATTAATGGACGATGTAGCTTATATACTGTTAATCATAAGAGGATGTTGTTTGTAACTTAGACTTGTGATTTCTTGGGGCTACACTTAGCTGATGGAAGTAAGTTAATTTGAGAATAAGTGCAGTTATTCTGTAGAGCCACAGTTGAGTATCTCAATGGAAGTGTGTATATTGTCTGATGTTGAACTGCTTACATACTCTTCTGTCTCCGCTTCACATGTCTGCGATCAACTTCCCGCTGACTCAGACTTGTACCTGTTCGCACTGGCTCCACGATGGAACCATAAGCATGAACCGTGTAATACGACTGGTCAAATATCTCTTCTAATTGCTTACAGGCGTGGAACGGTAACATTAGATCTGTTACTACCGTAGCATGAGTTAATCACGGTGATTGTGCAGTAGAGCGATGGAAACAAGTTGGTATTTACTAATGAGAAACGAAAGGCTATTCTTGATACATAAGGCCATGTTCACAGGTACTCTAACCCAGTAGAGATATCACCCCATCTTGCTCCAGCCATATCCGCAAAGTAGTTCGACTTGGGACTCCACAAGCCTGTGCCGCCCTTGGGGAATACAGAGCTAGCAGTCTTGAGATATGTCGACGATAGGCTCATCATTGGCTTCACTGGCATACCGTTTGATGAGGATAGGCGTGGGACCACGACACTGGTCTTGCTCTGTGTCATCTTCTTCAGGATACGAACAAACAGTCTCGCACTGACATCAGCACCGAGTGTCCACGACGCATTCTCATATCCGAACATGAACAGCAGGTTTGGTACATCCTGGAGCATCACGGTCTTCCATGCGAACTTATCAGCGACGTTGAAGGGGACATCGTCGACGCTGAACTTGATACCTCCACCGAAACGAACCTTCAGACCAGTTGCTGTGACGATAAGATCAGGATGTAATGAAGCTCCAGACTCGAGCTCAATGCTCTTCTCAGTGATAGTCTTGATCTTATCCGTCACGACATTGGCTTTACCCGAGCGAATAGCCGCGAAGAAATCACCATCCTGGCTAGCGCAAAATCGTTGCTCCCAGGGATTATATCGAGGCTTGAAGTGAGGGTCCCAGCTGACATCGGGAGGAAGATTCTTGATGGTGACATATTTGATGAGCTTCTTAGCCAGACCTGGACAAGACTTGCAGAACACGTTGGTGAGATAGCTTCGGACCAGCCAGAGGAGTCTGTTGAGGAAGAGGGCGATGCTGGCGGGGAATACAGTCAAGAGAAGACGTGTGAAGAAGCTGCTTGATGGGAGAGGGAAGATGTAGCCTGGGCTTCTTTGCAGCATGGTGACGCGCTTGGCTTTGTCGGACATGGATGGAAGAATTGTGACGGCGGTAGCTCCACTGCCAATGATGACGACCTCCTTGTTGGTGTAATCGTAGTCCTCGGGCCAAAACTGAGGGTGGATGACTTTGCCTTGGAACTTCTCAATTCCAGGGATCACAGTCTGTAGAGGAGTCTGGTAATCATAGTAGCCAGTACCAAGGAGCAAAAATCGGCTGCGGAAGGTAACAGGCTTCTCATCACCAGGTCGCGTAACCTGGAGCTGCCATCGCCTCTCCTTAGAAGACCAGTTGGCTTCTGAAACAGAGTGCTTGTAGCAAATATGGTGGTCGATACCAGTCGATCGTGCCGACTCGATCATGTAGTCCTTGATCTTGTCACCCGGTGCGAGAGACTGGTCATGCTTCCAGGGACTCCATGGGAAGCCAAAGGTGAAGATATCAGAGTCGGATCGAATGCCGGGATACTTGAAGAGATCCCATGTGCCGCCGATGGAGTCGCGGCCTTCGAGAATGGCGTAGGTCAAGTCGGGAGGACCTTCTGTTTGGAGACGGTAGGCAGCGTTGATGCCGGAGATGCCAGCGCCAATGATAATAACATCAAAGGTGTTGGGTTCTTCTGATTGCGGTGCCATGTTGATGAGTGTTGTGTGAGTAGTTTGTGTTGTTGGTGATGCTGTCCACAGTGGACGTTGCAGACCTATTTTGTACAAAAGACGACAATGAAGGAGTCTGAGAGATTGACACTCCGTTGGATCAATAAACAGTCCGCGGGCAGACGAAAGATAGCAAGCCTCGGTACTTTAACAAGAGCAATCAGGGTCTCGCCTCGAATGAGTAGCTAAGTTATGGTTAAGCTTCCGAGTCCGACAGGCGACAATATGAACCCATCCATCCGCCCCCGCGGGACCCGTCTCCGATAAAGACCCAAATCTTTTCATGACAACTAACTAAAGGAATAACGTCATGCTTGGGCTTTGACTGGAGGGGCGAGCCAAAGTGGTTGATCGCAAGCTAAACTCGATATAGAAATTTCGCGTTGAGGCTTCTCAAGTTTGTGGGGTAGCCTCGGTATGACCCCCCAGTGATCGTCTTCATGGGGGGGAGACGCCAAAACTACCGGGAGAGAGAATCACGCGACGGACGAGACAAGACTTGTCAAATCTGCAGAGCTGATCATCTTGGCTCCGAAGAGGGGTAGATCACTGAAACAAATGACGAAATTGTTTCGAGGTTTATTAGAAATTTACATGTGAAATTTGTTGAGCTATGTAGATCTTGTAGAAACTTCGATATCCTTCTGCCTGGCCTCCATCACGAAAAAAGAGATTATGCATAGCTTCGTAGATTCAACCCCGCACGATGGTTCAAGAAACGCCTCGCATGCTCAGCTGCCTTCTCTGCCTCGGCTGTAAAGTCAATCCTGTCGCCGAGCAGGATAATGTCATGAGGGCAACCTTCCGAGATGTCCAGGTACATTGGCCAACCACTCTTCTTGTAGCGTGCGACAAAGTTGGTGATGTCGTCGCATAGAACTTCGCCGCCGCCGGCGTTGACGTAGACTGGGAAAGGCTTCTCAATCTGGAAGGGATGGCGTAGAGGGGACAGGTACGGACTGGCTGGGTCAATTGCGCCAAAGCCAGAGACTGTCGTTGCGCCCCAGCGCGCAAAGTGCATGTTGAGATAATCCGTCTTGTAGTTGGGTGATTGAGAGGCATCTTGTTCCAAGGCGCCGGCGACATCAGTCCATGGCGACCAAAGAGCCATTGCGCGTGGAAATGGGACCTCGTCAATTTGACCATACTCGTGAATGTAGCGTACCAAGGCGAGAGCTAGGTTTGCACCAGCTGAATCGCCTGAGAAAATGATCTGGTCGGCAGGAATACCTCTTGTCTTGATGAGATGAAGATATGCTGTAAGTGCATCCTGTAGAGGAGCTGGAAACTGCCCATTCTTGCTGCTGGACAGTCGGTAGTTGGGCGAGCAGACATGCGTAGCGCCCATATGCTTAATGAGAGTCTTGGCCGTGTATCCAGTATCTTCATCACGACCATTGCCAATTACAAAACCGCCGCCATGAAAGTGCAAGACGACCACCATGCCAGGGTGAACGATGTCAGCAGGCGGTGGTCGCGCAGGCGTCCAAGTCATGCCCAATTGAGCAGGCTGAACCGTGTAATCCGAGCAAATTCCTCTGTACAACTTTGGCGATCGTGGAGCGACGACTTCGAAGCGGTTCTTCTCTTTGCCCTGGTCAAACCTCATTTTGTCGCCTGATTTGGTGAGAGACCAGTAGAGCAGCAAGAGCCGGACAACGCGGACACGGACAGCTTGGTTCAGTGTCCATTTTCTGTTCGGGCGAAACCACGGGACGAGACAGAGGGAAATGTCGAACAAAAAGCGCGAAAGAAGCCATGGTGTGATGATAAATGCGTATGTATAGCCAAATGCTGTTTTGAGTGTGCTTAATACTGCCATGATGGGTGAGTCGTTCGTGTAAGTTGCTGAGGCTGTTGGTGGTTATTAACGTGGAGGAAAAGCGGTAGAGCTACGCCGCGGGACCCGGGGCCTTTAAGTAATTCGCCTGCCTCGGTCACCGAACTCACAGCATATTCCCGGTCAAAAAGAGAGAGTTTCAACAGACAGTTTACTGATCAATGGCATTTTTTATTACATGCAATGAGCATTCGTGGTGTCATGCGATGTTGTTTTCACTGCTCAAAATGCTGGCACGGCGCCCGAATGGGGCGTACTCGGTATAGAGTGTGACGGTCGCAATTAATTGTAAGCGAGTCTATAAAAGTACAGAAAAGCTTCTAAGCTTGTCCGAGGATGATAGATACTATCAAACTACTTATCAGTCTCCTAGATAAAGTCGCCATCAATTTGTTTTGTTCTTAATTGCCAGCGGTCTTGCCAACGGCATCGCGAACCACCTCCTGCAACCAAGTTGGCCATCCTCTAATGCCAGAAATGACATCCACAGACTTGGGAATAATTAGTTGACCACCGCGTCGGCTCTTGATCTGAGCGACAACCTCCTTGGCGATATCATCAGCAGTCAAGAGACGAACACCGCCACGCTCCAATCGGTCCACGAAGCCCTCAACAAGAGGTGTTCGGACGAAGTTGGGGTGAACGACTGTTGTCAAGACATTGGGAGCCTTGTAGAAATGCTTGATCTCACTAGCTAGCGACTCGTGGAAAGCTAGAGCGCCAGCCTTGGTAGCAGAGTAATCGGCTCCTGTGGCGAGAGCGACAAAGGATGCGATACTGGCGACGGTGATGACATGGCCCTTGTTCAACTGGATCATGCGTGGGAGGAATTGCTGGGTGGTGTACCACAGAGCCATGAGGTTGACACCCATGATCTTGCGAAGGAATGACTCTGGCATCTTGAGGATGGGCATGGGGGAAGTGATACCAGCGTTGTTGATGAGGATTGATGGGTGACCGAGTTCTTTGCGCACTGCGTCAGCAGCTTCAGCGACAGACTCGGTCGTAGTAACATCGCATCGATAAAAGTGAACGCGCGAGTTTGTTTGGAGTTGCTTTGGCAAATCTTGAACATCAAAGACTGCGACACGAATACCCATGGCAGAAAGCTTCTCGACAATGCTCAGGCCGATACCGCTAGAGCCACCAGTGACAACAGCGATCTCATTCTTCCAGTCCCAACCAGAAGCAGCTGTCATTCGCCATGAATTGTGAGCCATGGTATTGAGGAACCGGTTGATGGTTCGAACGATGCCCAAGCTGAGCCATACGTAGAGAACCTTCTTGACGATCGTGAGCTCCAGGGTATGTGAAGCATGCTCTGGGAGCTTGGCGGCGATTGAGGCGAGGGCATTGTTCACGGCGTCGGGAGCAAAAGTTGCTGCAGCGAGCAATGAACCAGACAGAAGTGGCGATAGAAGGAAGTTGCTCGCATTGGAGACGTACGCAATAATGGGAGAGTAGAGCATGGAAGACATGATGATTTGCGCAGGGAAGAGTGATGATTGAGTTTGGTCTGTGAGTCTGAGCCGAATTACTCGATTGCACATGCAAGCAAGCAAGCTGCCACTAAATACATCTTATACAAACTAATTAAGCTCCAACGCCTTTGTCTAGCTCCATCTCCATCATCAACTAATTATCACGAGTTGGCAAAGAATGAAGCCGATCACGATGCTGTTGAAGCCGAGGCAAGATTCGCTCAACCAACGACAACTCTTGCAATCGCAAGCTTAACCAGAACAAGCCACAACGACGATCTTTGCCCTTCTCTCCACTGAGTCCACTCTCCCAACGGCACTTGACTTGGCCGCGTCCCCCTGTCATCTAAACCCATGGGCCTTAAACCCTGTTTCCAGCTCGTTAGTCCAGGTCTCTTGCGGGGTCTACTCCTCTGAACCGAGACACTAACACGTCCGTGCCATGAGAAGAAACACGCTGCCCGCCCTGAGTCTGCGTTGGCTATCTTTCTTGTCTCCATTCTTCCCGCTGGCTCCGTAATTTCGTAATCGCAATCTGTTGCCCTTCCCCAGACTCTCCATCCCGTACGCACAATCAGCTCACCCACGTTTACGTGCGTTTGTCTAGCTATCAGGATCTACTTCCTATCTTAGCGAAAGATGGTATTCCCAGGTCGCTTTAGCTCAGGTTGTCTGCGGTGTCGCCAGCGAAAGGTCAAGGTGAGTAATGCTTCTGCTCTGATTGAGCGATATCTGTTCTGTTCTAATCTCCTATCTCTCCGCAGTGCGACGAGGGGAAGCCGACGTGTCGACGATGCTACAACTACGGAAAGCCATGTCTTGGATATACCGACGAGTTTCATTTTAGACACTCTGCGCCAAAGGGGAGATCGCAAAGTACTTCCTCCAGCACCTCTCGCGCGTCAAAGGCGCCAAGTATAGCCAGCGCCAGCACTGCGAGTCCCCCGCAAGATGAGAAACCGCCCGAAAAGGAGCCCCAGAAGCCCAAAACACGGCCGTTGGAGGCGCCCATTCGAAGGAGATCTGTTGCCATGGTTCGACACCCGACACAATCATACGATAACATGTCGCTATGCTATTTTGTGCGTCGCTTTGTGTCGCCCGATGACGACGATGGATTTCCAGGGCATTTCAGCTTCCTCCCGAGTTTGTTCGACCACTACAAGGATGGACTCGTCGAAACAGCGACATTGAGCGTTGCCCAATTGGCTGCATACAATCATTTGGGTAACGAGGAACTTCGGACACGGTCTTTAAGAAATTATGGGCGTGTTATCAAGGGCTTGCAGCAGAGTATCCAATCTGATGACCAGGCGATGGACGACAAGGTCATCGCTACCATTCTGCTTCTGTGCACGTACAAGGTAAGTCTCACGCGACATCAATTACTTCACTTCTGACTCGATGATAGGACTTTAGTGGTGAAGGATTAGGTGATCCGAATGAACACGCTTCAGGGCTTTTCTACCTGCTGGAGAAACGAGGGCCAAGTCAGATTGGTACACGACGAGGAGCCGAACTCTTCTTGCTTGCTCTGCTGCGACTGGTGAGTCACGCGATAACACAATCACATGCCATGAGACTGACTCGAGTGATAGCAAATCTATTCATTCTTACATGGAGATGATTCGTACACGGACCCCGGTGCCATCGCCACCGTCATCGGCATCTTTGACCCTCTTCTTCGAGCACTGGCCATGATGGGACGGACCCTATCGCTGCGCCATCGTCTGTGCCGACTTATGCAGTCAGATCCATATCAGCCACAGGGTGCTAGTCCCTCAACAGCATCGCAGAGTAGTACCGCTACAGAAGACGAGAGAATCCTGATCCAAGAATGCTTCGACATGCTCGATGCCTTCGGGTCCTGGGACATTGAAGCAGCAGAGTATTGGCAAATGACCTTCGAGGGCCGCGGTGTCCCAACGACCCTTGGTGAGATGAGCGCTGGTAGGATGCACTACGACGCCGAGACAGCTTGCATCATCATTCTCGTCCGATCAGCTCGTCTCATCTTACTCCAGACCATGCTTCTCTACCAAACTTCATTGCTACCAACGGAGGATGATGATGGGTATAGTTACAATTCATGGGCAGAAACCGTTCCCTTCCTTGAATCCGATGTCCGCAAAACCGTCGATGACATGCTCGCCGCCGTGCCGTACGCCCTGGGCGATATCGACCCGAGCGGCATGCCAGCGACCATGCTCCACGACGGTGCAGCGGCCATCATCATTGTCCACTCGATTAGACTTGTCACACACTGTGTTTACACTACGCCCGAACAGACTGAAAGGGCAGCTCATATCCTTGCTAGATTGAACTCCGCTATAGGAATCAGGTCAGCTGTCGGGTTTATCCCTGGTGCTGATAACTACGGGGTACAGCCCTTTGCTACTCTTTCGCCGCCTCCCATGTTAATGTCACCGGGGCCTATGGACTGCACCGAAGACAATTTTGTTTCGCCTGGTAACTCGGGCTTGCTTTCATCTTGATACCAGCATTTGTACACGATTTTGGCCTGTATTAATACGTACATGGATAGTTGTCTTTCGTTCTCAAATTGGAAACCCTTGCCGTATTGTTCGAAATGACCTGATCTCCCCGTGACTCTTGTCCGATTTACTCAATCTTTAGTGATGAGCTGAAAAGCTCCATCCGGTCCAGCACCATGGCATCTCTCTCCCAGAGATGCCGCAACGCTGGGTAGATTGGTCCGCCCAGAATCGTCCACCAAATCGTGTTGAAGCAGATGACCACTCGGCTGGGTGCTCTTTGAGCCGAGTATAGTTGGTAGCCGGTCCAGATGGCCATCGCTAGGCAGGTACAGTATACATCCCATCGCAAGAACGAGACTACAATCTCCCTCGATTGCATCGCAGTAACGGGCGGGTTAAGCAAAGCCAGAGTCGGAGGGTTCGTCAACGATGTGAGGGCGAGAATGTGATGTCCGGAAACTTTGTCTGTGAGGTCCATGGAAGAAGCCAGAATTGTCCCGAATACACCCAAGTGTACTGCAACTGTCAAGGTGGTGATGAAGCGATATGCGCGGTTCATAGCTTTTCTGACGGCTCTCGGGTCGATATGGGCCGTGTTATTGGCCTTGCCCCGTCGAGACCAACAGACCAAGCGGGATACTCGCTGTATGGCTGTCTGGTATAACGGAAAAGGTTGCCAAAGAGCCACGGCGATGAACTTGGCTTCTCTCGTGACATCGAAGATCAGCGGCAGGCATAGACCAATGGTTGGCACGATGTAAGATATAATTGTCGATATCGGGAGGAGGCTCAGGTCGCACGGGTCGGCCAGCAGATAGGCTTGTTGGGGAATCGTCGGTGAGAGAAGGAGTTGTAGAGTAAGGTATATCGGAGCGATGATGGTTATTGTGACAGATTGAAAGACTATACCGAAAGTTCCGGTCCTGTATTCCAAGTCGGCATGAGACTAGCATTCAGGCATCAGATTATTCTCTTACCAGCTCAGAATTGTCCCACGGTTGCCAAATCTCAGCCCCTCAAGAGCTATGAGATACCAAGCTCCACAGAACTGCGCCGCCAAGTACACAAAAGCCAGAAGCGCCTCAAGGTCCATGCCCTTGCTCTCGGGATGCTTCTTGAGCCCTTGAGCGAAGAACTCCAAGAGCAGCATCACCGGCTCGTCAACTGCCTGGTAGCCCGTGAGTTGCCGAGAGATCGAGTCTGACATGTCCAAAGGACATAACGAGCTTCCATCGGGCGACTTTGCGTTTGTGATGCAGTCCCGAACAGCGTCAAAGAAGCCGTGACGGTATGAAGTCCCCATGCTAGCATAGCCTCCTAAGAGGGCACAGCTTAGAATGAGGCAAACGATAGACTTTGGAGCCATTGGAAGGGTTGCTTGTGAAGATCTGACGATGATGCTGCAGAGTCTGATAAATCTGCTCAACTCAACAAGAAGTCAACAAAACTGAGACGTCTGAAATCTCAAACATGTTGGTCTTTTCAAGCTTCATCTTCCCTTTCATCTCTGAGCCGAAAAGAAGTCCCGTTCATGCTTCAGCTGTAAAATGTTGGGAGATCCCCATCTGGTTTCGGCCTAGGTTGCGAAATCTCCTCATGTTTCGACGATGGTGTTGAAGGGAAAAACAGAACGAACTCCTCGCACATGTGAAGGGAACCTGATCGACAATAACATCATTCAGAACCGTCCGCGGAGCCCATCTCCACGTGCTGCTAATTACGAACCCGTCTCTCTGGGCTTGATGCATCTTAGAAGTTATAAGCGAGCTGCTTGCTTGATCCAGTTAGGTCTTGTTGATGGCTCGCATGCTAAACCCAATCAGGTTGCTTTTGCGACATTGATCATCGACGGTGGATTCCTATTGCAGAGTGGCATCTGCGCTAGTCACCAGAGGCACATGAGCGCCTTCAATTATGGCTTCAGTGAAGATAACCATGCCATGAAGATTCGTTGGGCTTCGGAGAATTTCATATGAGATTCTTACCCAACCTTTAAGTCTTAGTTTTATATGCCACGTTCAAATTATCAGCTTACTGTTATTAAGGTCTCCTCATCCTTTAATGAGTCCGGTAGAGGCTAGGTTTTGAATTACACAAGTTTTGCAGCTCTTTCAACATGGCTGTCGTCTCTAAGCTCCTGGGCTTTCCTAGCCTGACGTTAGCCGCTGTCATCGAATCTTTCTTCGCAATCAAAGTATTTCCAGACTATTACGACTCGAAGAGCCACTTGGCTGCGGTATTCACTATCTTGCTTGTCAATTATGCGTTTGGAATCGTTTTCTGGGGGTTTCTATACCCAGTCTTCTTCAGCCCTCTCCGACACATTCCTGGCCCAAGAGTACGCTCATCTTTGTCCGCAATCTGTCACAGAACTCAATCTAATATGAGTCTTTCCACAGGATTATCTGAGTGCCGCTCATCGAGGCATCGCTGTCAAGGACAAGCCATCCGGCGATCTATTCGTAGATATTGCCAACCGGTATCCCGGTGAAGACCTACTTACTCTAAACTCATTCAGAACTCACATCATGGTGACGAACCCTCTGCTTCTAGCTGACCTTCTCGTTCATAACTGTTACGACTTCACCAAACCGAAGAGAATCAGCGCCTTCTTACGACATATTCTCGGCGATGGTCTCATTATCGTTGAAGGCGAGCCTCACAAATTTCTGCGCAAGAACTCAACACCAGTCTTCCACTTTCGACACATCAAGGAGCTATACCCCATGATGTGGGAGAAGAGTCAGTCGCTAGCTCGGGCAATACAACAAGATATGACCACATCGAGGTCATCAGTCGTTGAGCTCAACAGTTGGGCGAGCAAAGTTACACTCGATATCATTGGTATTGCTGGTCTGGGTCGCAGATTCGATGCCGTTGAGAAGAAGAAGGATCCCCTCGCAGACATTTATGAAGGCTTGCTCGAGCCGAGCCGGGAGAAGCTCATCTTTTCTGGTCTGGCGCTGGCTGTTGGTCTGCCATTTGTTCGTCTCATTCCGTGGAAGATGAACGACGTCTTCAACTATCTGACCGGAACGTTAAACGAGCTTTGCTACCCTATGATCCAGGAGAAGAAGACAGCCATTCTCGAGAAGGGTGATGACCACTTCGATGTCTTGTCACTTCTCATCAAGTCGGGCAACTTTTCGGACGAGGCCTTGAAGGACCAGCTTTTGACCTTCCTTGCGGCAGGGTAAGTGATCTGTAGCCACCATCAAAAAGGACATGACTGATCTGGTATAGGCATGAGACTACCTCATCTGCGATAACCTGGGCATGCTACCTACTCACCAAGCACCCAGAATACCAAGCCAAGCTCCGAGAGGAGGTCAGGAACGGGTTACCAGAGGATCTAGCCACCAACCCGACGGTTGACCTCGCTGGTATTCTCGAGCAACTTCCCTACCTGAACGGCGTCATGCACGAGACACTCCGACTCTACCCAACGGTTCCACTGACGATGCGCCAAGCCATCCGCGACACCCGCATCGGTGACCAGTTCATCCCCGAAGGCACAGATATCATGGTGTCAATCTGGTATATCAACCGATCAGAAGCTATCTGGGGCCCTGACGCGACAGAGTTCAAGCCTGAGCGATGGATCACAGACGACGGGAAGCCTAATCAGAACGGAGGAGCAAGCAGCAACTACAATTTTCTCACCTTCTTGCATGGGCCGAGAAGTTGCATCGGACAAGGATTTGCGAAGGCAGAGTTGCGATGCTTGCTGGCTACCATGGTCAGGTCGTTTGAGTGGACGTTGTCTATGGATGATAAACTCGTGATGCCAAGGGGAGTGATTACGATCAAGCCAGAGAATGGCATGTATTTAGATTTGAAGGCTCTATGAGACGCGATCAGCGAAGACATTCACGAGACCAATGATGTCATGTATTATATTTCGATCCTTTCTACTTCACGTTTCTGTGCCTCGGAACATATGATAAAGACCTATCAAGCAGTGGTGCCCCTAAGCAATGAAAGAAACATTAGGAACTTTGCCCTAAGTGATGAGCATATTTATGTAACTTAGCCTAAGCTTAGAAGACTCACTACTAATTTTATGTGACATCCTCTTCTATACCCTGATTCTCTCAGCTATGAGGTGTGTATCCGTCGCTCTCGTACACCTTCCGACACAGCGTCATTGACAGCCTCTCATATCGAATTGTCTGTGAAGGTACGATGGAGCGACATCTCTGAGCTTGACAGGCTCTTGTCTCCAAGCGTAGCAGGCCAATGTTCTACATCTTCCGTCCATGGCAACTGCTCCTCAACGCTTACATTTAAGTAGCAAGTCGTATCCTGGGGGACACCGCGTCTCACTCTGAACACGAGTGACAGGTTCTCTGTGAGGGATATCGTGGTGGAGATGCTTTTCATGTCAATGTCGGTGAATTCCGCGCCCGTCGGCTCATCTCGGGTGTGGTCACTTCCAATCATGCACCCAACTTGGATGCCATGAGGTCTTTCTATCATTTTTATATATATCGTGAAAGTTGGAAGACCGCTATCTGCGGTAATTGGACAAAACGCGATGCTCGTTTCCGGTAGAGTATTGATACGTCCATTGATACTCTCAATAACATGAGGAAGGGGCCCTAACTCGCGTACTAATGGTACAGAGTTATCTGCCTTATCAGCCTGTAGCTTGTAATAGCCATTACTGATAGGTAGTGAGCGGAACTGAAGCGGTGCACGGTGATGGCTGGCTTGAGCAGAGGCGTATGTGCCGTTCGATGGCAACTCTAAGGGTACATAGGCCCTCACGAGGATATTTTCCGGAGGATCAGCAGGTGGTCCTTTCTCTCTACTCTCAGAATCAAATTGCCTAAGAGTATAATCCATTTCGTCCGGGGCCTTTTCTTCTTCGCTCTTTAGTGTCAGTCGTAAAGGCATCAAGCGGACCTTGAACCAACGACATCTGGTCCCGTTTTCGACTCTCTGATAAGCGCCAGATGCCAAACGCTTGATAGGAATACCGATATAGCCATCCTTATTCCAACAGCGTAGAACCGCAAGCAAGCACATTATCTTGATTCCCTTTGCATCTCGCCTTGCGGGCGTAATGACGAGACCATGATCTACGGCCCGCACGTTATTCGAGAACCGCAGTGTGCCGACTACGTCCACCCGGTCGATATCTCCAAGTTGCTTTGGGTCAGCTGGTAGAGAGCAAAGCCGAACTACCACCGCCGAGAGACTGATATCCTGCTTGATCAAGTCGTATTGCGGCACGCGACTTCGCGAAATATCTCGAGGTGCCCTTATGTCATGAGAGTCTCTGAAACAAGCTGGCGATGGAGCTAGTAACCCGAGGAACCGGAAGCCTCTCGTTGATGCTCCCTCATTGGGGGAGTAGCCACAATCTTCGAGGGGTTCTGTGGACCAAGCGAATAGAGAGTCGTCGTTAGTTGCCTTCATGATTTCGACTTGGAGCCGATAGAAAGCTTTGGGGCCTTCTCCGTAGATTAGGGGCATGTTGACATCAAATAGACCCATGAGAGAGTAGGCTTGATCCTCTAGTCTTGTCGTCTGCCGCATTGATGCCCAGGACATGATCCCAGCGATACTAACATGTGACCAGGTTTGCTTGACCAATGTGGCTACATCAATCTTGGATATATCTGAGATAGTGGCGCTTAGGCTAGCCTTCGTACCAATCTCACGCCAGTCGTCAGCGAGAAAGATCACTTCGTGCGGTGCAAGGAGCTCCTGAAGAGTCCACCCACGTGTGAACCATCGACTTTTGCGGAACCTCGAGTCCGATGATCTTGGGTTCTCAGCGGAGCTGACATCATTGAGATAGACATAGCACGCTGCAGACTTCCGATACCACTGGAACATCGAGTTGATCGCCTCTGATAGCTCTGCACTAGACGTCTTATCTATGCAACAGGTGTCTATCCATCCATACTCAAATCCCTCGGCTTTCGCCTTTGCGCAAAAGTCCACAATCTTTCTGTAGCCTTTCGACTCTTCTAGGAGGGGTATCAGTCCGCTAATTTGCTGCAGTGAAACTTCCTCGGACATCCATACGTGCGATAGGATCGCATATGTTGGTATTGAGCCTCCATATTCGCTTGTGAAGGACTCTAACTCGAGGGTTTCAACATTGATAAGCCGCATGGTTGACAGATATCTTAGCGCGCTCCGCCGGCTCCGAAGCTGGTGGGAGCTTATAACAAGGAACTTTAGAACATTTCTTTTGTGTGACTTCAACCGAGGGCAGATCAGGCTGTGATTGGCAGCTCTGATCACCTGGTTGAGCATGTTAAGAGGGGATAGAGAGCCTTGTTTCTGCTTACTGACGCTAACTCTGGCAGCGAACTAAGGATTTAGACAGCGTATTACGCTACCGGGGCTGCGTGTCTTGACCAAAAGCACGTCAAAATAAATTCATCAAAGAGTCCCCTAAGCTTATGATGATTTGCCTAAATATTTTCAGCCTTCAGGACTTGGGTCTTAATTTCTATTGTATCCCATAGCCTTGCTGTCTACTCTGCAGCTATCCCTGATGTCCACAAATTGTCGTCGGTGCTGTGGATCAAAGCCAAGAGCATTCAACAGAATTGAACCCCGAAAAAGGATTATGTGAAAACTTGACACCCGAGTGACCAGCACTTACCTCTAACTGCCCATTTCGCTGATCATTAACACCTTTCTCATGTCCATGCGAATGTCTTCCGAGGATTTGAGAATGACGTCGTCAAATCAGCTCCCTGCTTCGGAAAAAAAGACATCTAATCAACATTGCCATAAGAGGCATAACGCCTTCGCTGCAAGACACCGACAGTCCGCTTACACTTTGACGAACGCATTCTATGCATCTGAATGGACGGGGCCCTCACTGGCAGCTCCACGGCCCCGTTGTATTTAATTGCTTAAACGCCATTGTCTTCTTTGGGAATATGCTCGCTGAGTTTCTCTCGATATTTCACCACTCTTCAATGTCTAGCGCAGCTGACGAATCATTGGACTATCAGCACTTACTGTTGACTCAACAAATGACCTCGATCGGGCATGGCCTCTGAGTAAAGTTCCGTAGTTGATCTTATTTAAAATGGGTCATTGTTTCAATCATGACGCTAGATTTCCAGTTAATATCGTGGTTTCTGTGTTCTATTGGCTCTTGCTCTACATAACCCTCATCCGTCTGGTCCGTTCGGCACATAGGCATTGCTTTTGATCTAAGTCAACTAATTTACGGATGAAAATATGTTAGATGATTCGGATCTGAGATGCCGAGTCGAAACATATATAGATACGTGGTTCACAGTCCCAATGAAGATATCCCAAGTACCAAACCATTCACCGTTCCTCTCAGTCTTTACTCATAACTCCCTTTTGACACGCCAAAATTCACGATGAAGTTCATCAACGCGCTTCTCTTTACAGCCTCGCTCACCCAGGCCCATCCGAAGCCTCACAAGTCCGATCGGGCATTGTACTTCCTCGACAGCGACCCCCAGGGCGCTTCTGTTGTCTCACTCAGCATTGCCAAGGATGGCTCATTCGGTCAGCCACATAGAACCTCTACCGGTGGAAAGGGTCTTATTAGTAATGACATAAACGGAACTGTCAAGATGGGTAAGTGAGCTTATATTCATACCGAGAATGCCGCTGACCACTCGACCAGATCCCCTGTTCTCCCAAGGCTCCATTATCGTGAGCGGAAACCGCTTGTTCACCGTTAACGCTGGCTCCAACACTTTGGCTGCCTTCCATATCCCCAAGGAGAACCCAGCTCATCCGGTTCTTGTCGGCGAGCCTGTCGATACTGTTGGCACAGTTCCCAACACAGTTGCGTTTTCTCGCAAGCACAAGCTTGCTTGCGTCGCCAATACCGGAACCAAGCCTGGAGTTCAGTGCTTCACGGTATCAGACTGCGATGGTCTGAAGCCCCAAGGCAGCCTCAAGCCTCTTCCTGTCTTCGGCCAGACCTCCCCTCCGACAGGACCTCCAAACACCGTTTCCAACATTCTTTTCAACCCTTCTGAGACGGCTCTTTTCGTCACCATCAAGGGCAATGGTATGGAGAATGGTTTCGTTTATGCTTACAAGATCGATAACGGTCGTGTGAGCGAGGAGGCCGTCAAGTCGCAGCCTAAGAACTTGCCTGTTGCTTTTGGAATGAGCTTCATTTCCGACAGCTCTGCTGTTGTTTCAACGCCCACTTATGGTGCAGCATTTGTGTCCATCGCCGATGATCTCACTGTGTCTACCAAGACCAATGTCACAGTTCCTAAACAAATGGCCACTTGCTGGACCGCTACTTCCGCTGGTTCTAAATCTGTGTACCTCCTCGATGCTGCTGTTCCCGACGTTACTGCTCTCAACACCGAGACCATGGCCATTGGACGCACTCTCCCAGGATATGCAGCTGGCAAGGGCAACTTCGATGCCATTATCAGTGGCTCCAAGCTCTATGCTCTGCAGGCTGCCCCAGCGATTGCTGTGTTTGACTTGAAGCATGATTCTTATGGTCCAAAGGTTATCGACTTGGCCGGACTTGGAAACCGTGCTTCTTGGACCGGGATGGCTGTTTACTGAGTGCCTTGGTTTAGACGACCCAAATGAGGATCGGACTCCACGGCAGATTCAGCACTGAATTCTGATTCACCTCGCAAATGTCGCCTTCGTTGCATTTACTATTCTTTTTTCCATACTTGCATCTGCTTCGGTTCTCCCGTTTGATTACAGAAGAGTAAAGGGTCTTGCTCAGATTAAGTTAAACCCCTGAACCTCTCACTGATAGTATTTTGCCCAAAATTATCTATAGAACTTAATTTGCCCTTTACAGAATCAGCTTTTGTCTCAATAAGATTTCAGCCTTGAGTGTTGGAACCA